GCTCTCGTGGCCTAGAGATTAAGGTGTTCGTCTCTTATTCAAAGGTCCCAGGTTCGAATCCAGGTAGCGACGGAAACATTTTCTTCTCTAATATTGGCTCCTTTCACCTCCTTTCCTGCTCTCTAGCAATGTTCTGTCGTCTGCTTTCGTCTCCACTTTCTGCCCTCAACCCCTCACCCCTTTTGCCCCCTTCTCTAGGCTCCTGATTCTTTCTGCTGCCTTTCTACTGCTACTCCCTGGCTCCTTGTTACTACTGTCTTTCAGCCACACCCCTGATCTTCTGGTAGGCAAGATCTACAACTAGCCTTCTCGGACAAGGGTAAAAAATCTCGAAAGTCCCGGGTGCAAGTTGCGCACGTTAACGATCCCTTGATGTCTAAAATCCATAAGAATAAGTTTCAGCCACCACAGGGACAAAAGTTTTGCAAATTCCTACCAACTGAAAATGTTTAATGAGTCCCGCGCGCTCATATGACCGTATGCAGTTGTGAGCGCCGTAAGATACATACCAAAAAAAAAAAATGTGCAGGCGCAGTTTGGTGACCCACAGTGCAGATCAACAGAGGCCTGTGTCATAAAAAAAACTACACTGATAGCAACTAGAGTTTAGAGAGAGAAAGTCAACGCACAGTTTCATATCTGTCTCATGTGTCAACACAGCATGCGCCACGCCCATCCCTGTAAAAATTGACATTTTGCTGTTTAGAATTAATCCAAACAGATGGAGTAATTTTTATTGGAGGGAAAAAAAGCGACAAACTAAGAACACTTTCGCTCGACCAATTAGCAGTCTGAAGTAAGAGACGTTATCTTGGGAACAAAAGGTATATAAATCAGCTCCTCTTTCAGACTGGCTATCATTTTTCCATAGAAGAGATCTGTGACCACCAGGAACCATGCTGCTGTTTGTACTCATCGCAAGCGTCATCGCCTTGGCTCATGGCGAATATATGATGAGTATGTCTCTCTGTCTCTGTCTCTGTCTCTGTCTCTGTCTCTGTCTCTCTCTCTCTCTCTCTCTCTCTCTCTCTCTCTCTCTTTGTTTGTTTGTGGCTAGGATGAGAATTGATTATACGTTTGTCTCGCTCTTCCTTTGTCAAATGTGCTATATCCACAGCGGACAAAGACTGGTTAATTTACTACGTTATTGTTTTTGGGGGTTTTTTTCTTACGGCACTCGCAACTGTCTAAGGTCATAATATTCGTATTCGTCCATTTTTTCATAAGTACAAAAGAGTTTCGTTGTAAAGATTACTAGTTTGCTTTTCTACCTAGCTTAGGGTCCTTTTGGTAGAACATTTTAATGGACAGCCTGAATACAAACACATGTTCAGGTTTTTCTAAGTTTAGTTTTAGTAAAAGTTTTACGGCATTTGCAACACAATAAGGTCATATAAGTGCCGAAGATG